AGTAACAGAAGGGATTTATGACTTTCGGCCTCCATAATGAGCTATTTCCGAAAATTTAGCGAAGACCTACCTTTTCTGGCCTTCGACTTATTTCCTCAAACACTGTCTATTTGATAATTTATGTCACGATCCCAGGACCGAAGAGACCCAGCTGTAGCGCTGAGTGGATATGTGTGCAGTTCAATGGATCGGAACGTTTCAGTTTCAGTTAAAGTATTATTTCTTTGCAATATATTAAAATATACTTTGCCATTAGTTGATGTCTACTTCTTGAATAACGTTTACAATAATTCTGCTTGAATTTAGTGATCTGGGGAATTTAGCTATTAAATAAAAGGTTTTATTCGTTTAATATTTTCGCTCACATCATTCTTTTTTCAGCTGGAATTTGTCTTCGAAGATTTAACGCCCACTGCATCCAATGCCGCTGGCAAAGGAATATTGCGTCGCTCGAAAAGCAGGATACAATGCACCAAGGTTTCTCACTCTTTTGCTAATCCACTTATAACTCTCTTTCTTTCTCTTCTCCATCTTGCAAATTAGTTACATGACTATTAAAAACATGGCGGATGGGAGGCTGTACTGACGATTCCTGTTCCTACCCGCATGCATAGTTCGGTCTGTGTATACAGGTAAGGAATGAAACACAGACTTACAAGATAGTAAAATGTCCTTCGCCACATGACACTCGAGACCATTCCTTCCATTCTACAGTTTCACACTGTTTTATGAAAGCTTCGAGAGATTTTTCATACGAAAAAAAGCAGGACAGCTCTGCCGCCTCCCCCTCCCCCAACAAAAAAAACGGTTCATTTAACTAAGGGAAATTGCTATTCAGGAAACGAAGCTGAAGTTCAGCGCGGAGCCACCAACTGTGTTCACGTATCTCGATGAAGAAACGGCTGCTCAAGAAGTAAGCTGGGATGATGGACAACAAATCAGTTTTCAAATTTACCAGGAATTATGCAGCAGGTACCGATACTCGTTGATAATTTGTTGTTACTTTGATACACCTAACGTGTTGGATCATAAGTGTACACATGTAACACTTTAAATTCACATTACGGTGATATTTTACAAATTTATATAAATTTATCTTTTAATATTCAAGATACTACCCTTTTATACACATTTACGTTCCCAATTACATACACATCGATATCAAAACCGTGAATAGGAATGTATACGACTTAACAGACCGAAACTTTCTGTTTATCTGATTATTTCTCAATACATATATATATATTTTTTTTTTAAATTTTTTATGTACAAATCATTGCCAATATCTTAATTATCAACAAAACAGAATACAGATACTGATTGTCCGGGCGGTCCTGGTGTTCTAAACAAATTTCAAATGTTCATTTTATATTCAAATGTTCACAGGCACTATCATTACCCGCTCAGCAGACACAGCAGGCTAAATTTCGGGTTTCCCCTTCTAGTAACAGAACGTGATCACATCTTAGCTTTTAGCCAAGATATGCAAAAAATCATAAATTTGAATTTCTTCCTTTATCATCTCAATCTGTTCTCAATCTTCTCAAGTCTCAAAATCTTTTCGGAAAAAAAATCAAAAATGAATCTTTTTCGAAAAAATGCACAGATTGCAACACTGCTACTGTCAACGAACGCCGTGAAAGAAATTTCTGCTTTATTTTTATTGAATTTTAATTATAATCTCTACACATAATTGGAAATTTCGTCCAACTACATCATTCATACTGACATTCCCACAAAACTGACCATGACTGTGGAAGATGCTGTCCGATCACTGTCTTCAGCAGTTGGGTACCTGCAAAAGTTTATCTGTTAGATTTATTAAAATATTTTAGAGTAGATACATTTATCCAAAATTTATCTATTAAGTAATCCAGTACATATCGAAGAAAAGAACACTGAAAAAAATTTTAATAAAAAAGCAAGAAATATAAAACTGTTCTTAGTAACAGGAAATGAAAGCGGAAACACAGTACTCTAAGAAAATCCCCGATTTATGCACAAAGGCGATATTGTTAATAACTAGAAATATCCAAGAAGAAAGGGGAAGGAATACTGCTGAAAATACCGAACTGCTCTCGGTGATGAAACCTATGAAAGCGGGTGCAGTACTCTAAGAAAATCGCCGAACAAACGATTTATTCAAAATACAGGTAAAAACTAGAAATATCCCAGGGAAGAGGGGCGAAGTAGTATGATTTGAGGCTGCACTGTGGGTAGTTACTGAGGGCTGTAAACCGGGAGTTTACGAAATACAAGACAAAATAAGAAATACATTTTTTTTACAAAAAATTACGAAAAAATTACGAATTACGAAAATTAAAATTAAAAATTACGAAAAATTATGAAAAATTACGTAAAATTACGAAAAAAAAATTTAAAAAAATTACGAAAAAAAACGGGAGTTTACGAAAAAAAATTACGAAATACATTTTTTAGAAGATCTAAGATAAAATTTTAAAAAATTAGTAATTTTAGAGAAAAAATACGGTCACAACAAGAAAAAGCTGAAATGGAGCGACTATTGCGATCATCCGTAGCACCAAGCAGCAGTAGTAGTACTTACTTGTCTGTAAAAAGTAAGTTTATCAATTTTTGGCCCCAAAATCACTTTTTACAAATGCTAAACTTACAAATTATTGTATCCTATACACTGTTGTTGTTGTTGTTTTGCCAATATCTGCTACTGAAACTGGACATTTGGGCCAATTTTGTTGTTTCAGCTGTGTCACCATTGGAACAGCCTTCGGCCGATGAAAGTTTGCTCGGTGTCACCGGTCGAATAACATACAGCACCGCTCCTGTAGATATAACAAGATTCAATAAAAATTCGATGTAAGTCGTTGTCCATTTTTTTTTTGCTCTCCGATTTTCAATATTTCATACAAAACCGTACTACGTCAAAAAAATCAAATTCAATTTTTCATAACCCTGCTTCCTTTAATCCAAGGCTACGGTAAGATGCAAGCAGAAAAACGCTTTTTTTGCAAAAAAATGCGAAAGAAAAATCCAACGTAATCACTCAAAAATCAGAACTTTAAAAATGAAATCCTGAAAATGGTGCTTTTTTAAAAAAAAAAAACTAAAGCTCAATATATGTAATGAAAAACCTTTGCTACCAGCAAATAAACTAATAAATGACGAATATTTTTCAAAAATTTTCTTGAAATATTTCTCGAAAAATGCCCCTTTTCTAATAACCAATCTAATAAGCCAGTAACCATTTTACACCA